CTCGCTCTTTCTCTCCGGGCCGATTTAAGCGCGCTGCAGACGGGGGGCATGCAGAGCTGGAGAGGCTCGGTCATCCAGGGTGGAGAGGGGGGATAGAAACTGAAGAATTAGCAACATTTAGATGTGAAAAAAAATCATATTTTATACACATTAAATGTACATTTTTGCCGTGCATTTTCATTGTAAATGGTGTCAAAATAAAATGTGAAATGTCCCTGCAGTAAAGGGTCTGCTGGGTCCCTGCAGGCAGCCTCACATCTCGGATGAAAGCAGGGAAATAGGTTGTGACAGGGGACGTCCTCCCCGGCCTTTCTAATGCCTCCAAAATTAATTTGCTGATTCGTTTCTTCTCTGCTTGGGACCGACTGTACGCGCACTTTACGCACCGCACGTCCCCCGAGGCGCTTTGTTTTACTTTGTATTATAAGCGCGTTTATCACAGGGGTCTGTAATCTGCAGAATAAAAGCAAAGAGCCAACACGGTGAAGGAGGTTTTACACGGTGCCGTGTGTGTGAGAGTAAGAGTGTGTGTGCAGGAACCATTTAAAATGTATTATAATACCTTATTTTTACATCGATCGTAAATTATTTAAATTATATTGTTTTTAAAGCTCTTTAATTTTGTAATTGTTCATGTGTAAAACTTCACTTAAACTCTTGAATTTTACTTAAGTTTTGATATGTATTCCTCTTAATATCAGTATTAAATCCATGTTTAATGAAAAGTACATTTATTACAAAATAAAAACAAAACATTTCAGGTAACAAATCCAATATTTTAACGTTTGACAACGATTCTCTGGAATAAAAAGAATAACATAACTGTCTTACCTCCGCAGCATCTCCCTGGTGCTTTTACTGTTCCTGTTGAAGCAGAATCTGTAGAAACACTTTCAGTCAGTTTCCCAATTTTCAGCATTTAGACGCTGCGTAACACTTGCAGTCAGTTTCCCAATTTTCAGCATTTAGACGCTGCGTAAAAGCGCGCGGATCCTCTCTCTGTGTGGAGGTTCCTCCGGGAATGAATGGATTATTTTCTCCTGAGCTTTGAAGTCTCCTGGCTTCACCTCACAGGTGCTCATCTCGGCCTTTTGCTTATACTTCCTTTCCCAGCCGCCTTTCTAAAAAGATATCCTCACCTGAGGGATCCGGGTCTCCGCGCGGCGCCGGAGCTCCTCTGTGTTTTTATGCATCACGGTTTTAATAGTAAGCACCGACACACAACATCCCCGCAGATCCCCGTTTCTTCCAATCCTGCTGCCGGCTGAAGGGACAAAACTTTTCCCCCTCCTCTTCCTCGCCGCCTAATCCGAGGCTTTACCAGCTCAGCATTAAGAAAATTCAACTGCAATTTGGGATTAGACAAAATACTCTTATTACAAAAGGTTGGTGATAACTTGATACTTGTTCAGGGGTTTATCTCGGGGTCTTACTCACATCGAGAGAAAAAAAAACAAGAAATGTGTGTAGGGGAAATGTCAGAATAACCCGAGTCTTTTGTTGTGAGGGCCATATTTGTTGAATGGCCTTTTTGCATAATTTAACGGAGCCTGTGTGTGTGTGTGTGTGTGTGTGTGTGTGTGTGTGTGTGTGTGTGTGTGTGTGTGTGTGTGTGTGTGTGGAGGAAAGGGGGGGGCTGCTGTTCTCTCAGGCCCTCTGACTGCTCGGACTTCAGATGTGGGAATAAAAAAGGTGCGTAAAAAGTGTTTGACCTCCGGTGAGCAGCACAAACAGAAATCAATTAACACCAAAAACCGTCACATTTTCTCTCTCTTTACTTTCCTATTATCACCTCATTCATATATTTGACCACACACTCCCTGTCCCCATGAGTCTGATTTTAACCTTTAGTTCGTCATCTGTGCGTAAAAACATGGAAAGACTTTGTGTAGGCTACATTAAGATGCGTTTGCGTGCATTTTGGTGCGTTCAGGCTCCCTTTTCCTGCACTTGCATCTCTACAGGCCTCCACACATCTGATGTCTAAGTTTCTCTGTCAAAGCTCTCATCGATGACTTTTAAAGCCACTTTGATACTCCTCCTCTCTCACACACACACACACACACACACACACACACACACACACACACACACACACGTAAAAATGTGTTTTCCATGCCTGCAGCTTCTCTCTCTGAACATTAGCTCTCTTTAAGCTCAGGACTCATTTCCAGAAGTTTTTTTTTTTGCAGAGATTCACAAAGGAGCTGCATCCCCCCACGACCCTCTCTGACAAAAACAGAAGCAGAACATTCTGTTTGTTTTGAGGTTAAAATCACATTTTAAAAAAACCCTCCATGTATAAAGTGCAGGGTTTGATTCAGTGACCGCAGTTTTTCTTCTTCTGCGGATTTTTCTTTTTCCTCCGCAGTGAGTTTGAGGTCTATCCCTATTAAACTTTACGTCAACCATCCTCAAATGTAATTCTAAATGGGGATTAGACCTCATTAATATTCATGAGCTCTGCTGTGTGTGTGGAGAGAGAGAGAGAGGGAAGGAGAGAGAGAGAGAGAGGAGGGGGAGTCTCACAATAAAATCAAAATGGATAAATGTAACTTCTATCCTTCTTTTTTCCTTAATTTCTCACATTTTGGAGCGACGAAATATCACCACAGAGGAATTAACGGTAACAAATAATAAAAGCTTTCTTATAAAAGCTGCTTAGGCTTCCCGGCCTTTCAGCAAATGTTAGTGCATGTTTATAAACTAAAAGACAGCTTTCTGACAAACTAAATAACCTCTCAAACATTTTAAGCCTCCACATAATGAAAAGGTGATTTTCTTTCTCTTGAAACAATCGTAGGCTATAGTTTACATTTTTGATTTAATCTAAATACAGTGTTTTGAGTTTGTGAAAAAGACACGCCACTTCAGGCATGGTGCAATTCAAAGAGACACCAACACCATGCAGGTTATTTAGAAGAAACGGGTTTTAAGTGGAGGAAAATTCCGCGGAATTAGTTTTTTAAGTGCTTTCAATTGCTCTTTTAAGTAAATTGTTAAATCATTAACAAATCTGTATAAATCTCCTTCTCGTCAGCAGCTCTCTGTGTTTCTCTGCAGGCCTCAGAAACATTTCCATCTTTTCACAAACCCCTCTGCTCTGGTCTTGGGACCCGGACACGGAGGCGGGGAAAGTGGGAGGGGCCTCTCACGGTGGCCTCTGCGCTGATTGGCTGCCCAAGCTGTCCGTCACCCAGGAGCTGCTCGCTGGTTGGCTGAGGGAGGCGGATCCGCAGGTGTCCTCCGCTCATAGAGGCGCGGGGCGGAGAGAAGGTGATCAATCTCAATTTCGTCTCCATTAGAAACAAGAAAATCACCTAACACTCTGACAGACAGCGACAAGCCCCCTGAAAGCAAATGAGTCTGATTTATTTGGCTGCAAAAACACCCGGAAACGCGTGCTGATATTTCTGCGTGTTTTTCTGCGTGATGCTGCCCGGTTCCGCGCGCTGTTGTTTGTTTTTCAGCGAGTCTGTTTGAGTTCGTCAGACTTCCTCCTGCTGGATAATTTTACTGCTGCTCGCGTCTGTTGGCCCGGGAGCTCGGGAGAAGGGAAGAGGAGAAAAACAAGGTAACGTTTCTTCACTTTTCACTCATCAAATGCGCATTATCTGCAGTTTTTACGCATTTAGCCTAAACTCCAAAAAACACAACTCTGCGTCAGAAACAGAAGCAGCTGAAGTGTTAAAAACGACACACACAAAAGTCACTTTTTGAAACATTTAGGAGAATTAAAGTGTGACATGTGAGGTGAATTGTTTCAATTTGCACCGGATCACGTTTTTATGTAATTATTGTATTTATTTAGCCGAGATATCAATCAGTCTGCACCGGGGAGCACTCCGACCTGAACCGGATAAATTGAGTCAACTTCCTCCGGAGTGGATAATTTTCATATTTCTATTCCAGTTCACTTTTATTGGAGAGCAATTGGCCATTAAAGCGTTTGAAGCACTTAGTAGATAATTGGAGAGGCGTGTTTTGGTTTTTGTTAATTTATTTTGCTGATAAGAGGCCTTCTGAAACTCTTCTCCCCGGAGGTCTAATCTAAATTCTAATTGAGTTCATTTGCACCGAGATCTCGCCTTTCTCTCCCCGGCCTGACAGGGCTCAAATATGTTTTAAAAGCGTCTGCAATACACGGTCAGTCAGTCAGGAGCTCATTGTTAGTATATCTCACTAATTTAATTTCCACGATTTAAACTTCAGGGCGTATTTTTGGGGTAGAAAATTCTTCACTTAGGAGGTACAAATCTAACTTTAAGAACAGCTTTTAAATAATAGATGTCACGCTTAACAAGGGTTATCAGTGTTTCCTGGATGTAAATGTAATGGTAAATGATTTAGTGGAGAAAGATAAATAAGTTTGTTTTCTGCAGCCGGTTGGGATGTGTTTTGTTCCCTAAATGTAATCTTAATTCACTGAGAAACAAAACACCAAAAAGCCTTTAGACTATAATCAAACAGCCTGCAGTGTAATACAACCACGGAAAGGATACAAATAGTTGTGTTTTACGGAATTATATCATATAACAATTGGTATTTTATTCTGATGAAAAACAAGAAGTAAAGAAATAATTTGACTTTTTTTCAATGAGGTTTTGTTCCTTCACCTGAGCGTTAAAATATAGAAGCAAACTAAACAAATACAAAGAGGGTCTAAAGTGAATTTATTGTAGAAACTATTAGAAATGACAAATCAGATATTCCTCTAGAAAGCACATAATATAAATTGAGTTTTATTTTGTGGATTTATTTCCTGTTAATGCAGATCATTTCAGCCGAGCTCTGGAGATCCACAGGAGGAGTCTCTTTTAGGTCGAAATGTTCACAAAGTATACAAACAGAATCACTGAGAACCAAAACACTGTAGCTGTGATTTTATAGATTAACAAACAGCATCCATAATCCATCTTTTATATGCGCGTGTGTGTAAATGCAGGCCTTCACACTCACACACACATTTCACTCAGGACGCTACGAGTTTTTAGGAAAGGCTTTATTTTACCATCAACATCATTTGAACATAGCGGTTTTCTTTTTTTAAACGTAGCCTATCTTTAAAAATGAAAAGTTATTTGTGTTTGATTAAATAAGTACTATTTGAGAAGAGAAGGCTATAGAAAGTAGTCCCATTATATAAATAAAAAATAAAAAAATACATTTATAATAAAATGCACAAACAATAATCTGCAGGTAGGTCGTGGGGCACTGGTCATTAAAATATGGAAATAACTTGGACAAATAAACACACATTTAAAGAAAGTATTTTTAGAAACGCAACTATTATTGTCAGACTTTTAGGATCATTGTTGGAAATAACAATGCATCTGGTTTCTTCAATTTTTATCAAATCATTAAAAGCTTCCAGTAAAAGTTAAAATGTCTGTAAAGGAATATATTGTTGTTTGGTTAATAAAACCTCAGATGTTGTGTTTTATTTCCCTCCGCTGGAGTCTCAGTATCGGAGCCGTTTGACCCCGGTTATCCCCCAACACAAATCCAATATTCCTGAAGGGATTTAAAGAGCTGCTAAATGATCAGTTTATCCTCCAATAATTCATGCTTATACATCCCACTGCAACTAAATAACAACTAAAGGAACATTAGGAAGTATTATAATGATGCGTCTTTTAGTTCTTAATGTTAGGTTTTAAAATGGAGTGAAGCTTCATCCGTTGAGTAATAAAAATACGCAACAAAAGTATAAAGTATCTCCTTAATGTCTCCTGTGCATTCTGGATACAATTGGTATTTTTTTCTCAAAATAAAAAAATACTGCAGCACCTGCATGTGCACTCTGTATGTATTAAGTAACTGTGTGGAAAAGCCAATAAGTGAGATCGGCCCCCTGTCCCGTCAAGCTGCAGCATAATAACAATACGCAACAAAGGCGTTAGTTCATGATGAAAAAAAAGTGCTTTTCCTTCATATTTCCTGTGCATTTTGGATAAAATTGAGCTACTTTTCTCGGCACTAAATGACATTACCTCCTGTGTGCATTTGCTTGGATCGGCCCCCTGTCCCGTCAAGCTGCAGCATAATAACAATACGCAACAAAGGCGTTAGTCTATGATGTTCTTCCTTAACATTTCCTGTGCATTTTCGATGAAATTGATCTACTTTTATCGGCACTAAATGACATTACCTCCTGTGTGCAGTTTCTTGGATCGGTCCCCTGTCCCGTCAAGCTGCAGCATCGGGGGAAACCGAACCACTGGCCGGAGCTGGGTGGAGCAGTGACCGCCTGTAGCATGATGTCCTACCTCAAACAGCCCCCCTACGGCGTCAACGGCCTGGGGCTCAGCGGCGCCATGGACCTGCTGCACCCCTCCGTGGGCTACCCATGTAGGAGAGACTCACACACACACTTTTGATTAATGCACCAGCCATCATGAAGAAAAAAATCCGTATTTAACATGCATGCACCCTGTTTGGCTGCTGAAATCATGAAGAACATTCACTACAATTTAAAATGCAGGCAATGTCGATCATAAAGAAAAAATATCCATATATTTTATGAAAGCACCGACTCCTGGTACCATGAATAAAACATTATTTAGAACGTATTTACTTTATTTCAAGGCAATACAGGTGTTTTTGAATGGTGGTCATAATAATAATAATAATATTTCATAAGACAATTTGAGTTAAAACCAAACTTATTTGACCAGTGTAAGTAGCTCTATGATGTAAAACTAGCTTGATTTAGCATTATAAAGCAAATTATAAGTGACTGTTTTTGTATCCTTTGTATATATTAAATAGGCATTTAGTTAAATACTAATTCTCTTTATCAATTGAAAAATAAAGATAGGTCAATTATCTTTATTTCTCCACAGTAAAAGGCCTGACTTTGTTTTATTGAAATATCTCATACGTAACCTAATGAGCGTTGCATGATGTTAGCAACCATGCTAATTTACATCCGTTGTTCCGGGGCAGTTAGGCCCAACAAAAAGAAAGCCTACAAGTCAAAACAATACCTACAATACACCAGTAAATAAGACAAAATACGTTATAGGCTAATAGGTGTCAAGTTAGTGATCTAAATAACATTTTTAATTTGTAATTGTGAAGTAAAATGTTCTCTGTGAGGTCGTTGTAGCCTATTAACGTTTCTCCGGTGTGTGTTTGTTCTGCAGCGACTCCCAGGAAGCAGCGCAGGGAGCGGACCACCTTCACCCGCACTCAGCTCGACATCCTGGAGTCTCTGTTCGGGAAGACCCGGTACCCGGACATCTTCATGCGGGAGGAGGTCGCCCTGAAGATCAACCTGCCGGAGTCCAGAGTCCAGGTAAACAACGAAGCACCTCCGTGTGTTCAGTTAAACTGTGGAAACGTCCCGAAAACAAACACCTAACTTCGGAGACTAACTTCTGCAGTAAAATGTGTTATTTGCTAACGTTGTTTTATTTTAATACAATGACACTTTATTATCATAACACTGAATTAGAGTGCCATTAAAATATTAAAGACGTGATATCAGCTACTTTAAATGCCTGTCAATTTCAAACAGTATTTCAACTGACGTTTTAAACTGCTAACGTTTTAAACTGACATAACTTTTTTTCTGCTAGTTTGTGCACTTGTTAGCCAGCTAAAACGTAATTAATAACTTATTTACGTGGGATAATTAATGGCTATGTGATTCCTTTTCACTCTTTGAGAGGAGACATTTATCAAAACAGTGATTTAAATGTCCCTTATTTTGTCGAAGTGCACTATTACCGATCATATTTTTGTTAAGCTAATTAGCAGTTAACCTAATGTTAGCTAACTTACGTTTTGACTAGCTGGCTAAAATTAGCCTTCCGTGTCTAATTTCACTGACAAATCCGATTAGGAACAAATCCGTTTAGGAGCAAATTCTTAACAGTATTTATAGCAGTAAATAAAACTAGAACCCTACTTTATTGAGTAGTTTAACATGAGGGTTATAAAAGAAACATATCAGTAAAATAATTCGAGGATTTCAGACTTGGTGGCTCATAAATTCAGTGATTTAAGCCCCTTCATAGAGGATAATAATTGATCGATTGTTGTGAAGTAATGACTGAAATGATATATAGGCCTACATAGACTGTTTTTTAAAATGTGTTACCTTGGAAGTAACTATAACGTGTTAGTAGTGTATGGAGATAGTTGCATTTAAGTGTTTATTAAACAATATTTTCCCACCTATTTTATGTTAACTCCCCTCAACTATTTGATCACTTATTTGATGAAGGGCTCAAACAGATACAACTGTATGTAAACAAAACTGCATTCCAGATTATTATTTTCTATCTGAATCGGTCATTGCTAACTGAAGGTTATGTCATTTGATATGAAATAATGGATCTATACTGAAGAGGTGAGGAGTATGCCAACAAAAACTCCACAAACAACTCACTGTTGTACTGCGATGTTGAACAAATACTGCTCTTGAAAAGGCATTAGGGGGAAACCAAGGCAGGCCTCTCTCACACGCACAATTTGAGTTATTCTCAGAATGTGTGTGTGAAACAAAATGCTCTACATGATCCTACCCTCTCCTTGCTCTAGAGTTACCCTACTGTGTGGTGAAACCCAATAGCCTGTTATCTTAGAGCCGTCTACCAGGTATGAAATTAGACCCCTGGCTGGTCCGAGCCAAGGGGCCTGGGTGGAAATGAACCTTGATGGCTAATAACCCTCAATTTTCCTCCATAATGTACTCCCAGCATGGCCTGGCTGGGAGTATGTTTTTTTTATAACCTTCCTGTTGTCTTCGGGTCAAATTTGACTTGTTTTTTAATATTTCTGTTGTGATTTTATCTCATTGCAACAACAACAACATGGATGGTTTCATACAACGTTCTTCATTTAAATGTAAAGCATCAGGTGCATTATGGGCTGCCATTGTTTGAGTCCTTCTTCAACTATGACCAGGCTTTAAAACATTTAATTTAATTTAGTGTAAATGAGGTCCTTTTGATCATAAAATGCCAAAGAGAGAAGTAATACTTTTGGCAATGAGTTGGAATAAGTTGGTTTTAAATGTGTAACTCAGATTCAGGTGGAAAACAATCAAACCAGGACAAAAAATGCACAGTTAAGGGGAAGACAGCACAAAGGTTAATGAAACGCTGAGGTTGTTTGTTTGTGTGTGTAGTGTTACTAACTCCTGGCTGTTCTCTTTGTAGGTGTGGTTCAAGAACCGGAGGGCCAAGTGTCGCCAGCAGGCGCAGAGTGGCAACAGTGCAAAGGCCCGTCCTCCTAAGAAGAAGTCGTCTCCGGCCCGGGAGAGCACCGGCTCGGAGAGCAGCGGGCAGTTCACTCCGCCGGCCGTCTCCAGCACCGGCTCGTCCTCGTCCTCTTCCTCCTCCACCAATCACACGGGCCCTGCGGCGCTCAGCAGCACCTCTACCTCCATCAGCACCGTCTCCTCCATCTGGAGCCCCGCCATCTCCCCCGGAAATGCTACGGCTCCTGCGGTGGCCCCGATCCCCGAGCCCGGACCCCCGTCTAACGCCTCCTGTATGCAGCGTTCGATGTCAGGCTCCGCCGCTGCTGCCACCTCCTACCCCATGTCCTACAACCAGACGCCGGGGTACGGGCAGGGCTACCCCACCCCTTCCAGCTCTTACTTCAGCGGGGTGGATTGTGGCTCCTACCTGGCCCCCATGCACTCCCACCACCACCCCCACCAGCTCAGCCCCATGACGGCCTCCTCCATGTCCGGCCACCCACACCACCACATCAGCCAGTCGTCGGGGCACCACCACCACCACCACCAGGCGTACGGAGGCTCCGGCCTGGCCTTCAACTCCTCCGACTGCCTGGATTACAAAGAGCAGACTGCAGCCTCCTCGTGGAAGCTCAACTTTAACACCACAGACTGCTTGGACTACAAAGACCAGGCCTCCTGGAGGTTCCAAGTCTTGTGATCGGGCTTTTTTTTTTTTCTTCCTCCTCCTGTTCGTCAGCTTCTTTTATTTTCCAGATTAGCATATTGCTTGTTTTCAAAAGACAAAAAGAGTTTATGAACCATAAGATAGCAGCAATCTGACTTTGTTTTACCCTCGACGTCTTTTTAAAAACAAAAAAAATGTAAGAGAAACAGTCCCTGGAATGCTGAGGAGAGCAAACATCCGGAGCAGTTTCCTGACGATGAAGAATGGGTTTTTAAAAGACGTTGATTCTTGGATGACCTTATAAAACTGTTTTTGAAAACTACAAAAAAAGTCATTTCAACCGAACTCCTTCGACCACCAGCTCTCTGGATGGGAGGAATATTTCCCCCTGGACAGGAACTCGCCCTCTTTACCTCCCAATCAAATCCTGTAAAGTTTTTATTTCTGAAATTTGTTATTTTAGGATGACAGAGATTTTTAGTCAGCTACATCGTGGAGCTGAAATATGTAAATATGTATTTGGGTCAGTTACAGTGACCATGTTTAGTTGGTGTTTTTTTTTTCCGAATTTGAAATTGTATGTAAATCTTTCCAAATATTCCAAAGAGAACAAATTGGCCATAAGGTTCAGCTTTTATATCCTACGTTGTTTTACTCAGAAAATGTTTTGGCAATTTGAAATGTCTCGGGAGGGGCGGGGGGGGGATACAACTCTAAAATATAGATGCAGTTTGTTTTCCGGATATTATTATTCTAACCTCTCTACATTTTCAAACCAGACCTCCTCTCTTGGGCATTGTCGTGATATATTGGACATGTTTGAACCGCAGCACTTGGCTTGAAATTGGAGTCAGAGCATTTTTATTTTTGGAGAGGAAAATGTGGATTTTATTAGCTCCAAAATGACAGTAAGATGTTGAATGTATCTTTAAGGCGAACCACCCTTACATACATGTTCATCCAATAAAGATCCGTTAAGTCATATTTATTAGTGTCTCAGTGTGATTCCCAACAGGGAGTCAACATCTTATTTTAGATGCATGTTCACCAGCAAATTACAAACTCAATATTCCTGTTTTCTCTCATTTCAATTAGTCACACTTTTATTTAAAAGCTTGTTGAATTCCTCCCCCCTTAATTATAACGGGGGTAAATGCAAATGAGTCCATGATTAATACAAGCCGTGAACGCGTGTGCAGGCCCTACATTTCCATTTTAGAGAGCAGCCAGTGGTAATCCTCTGTGTCTCTGAGTTAAATTGAAACACTAACATCTTCACATCGCTTTAGGGGAGAGTAAAGTGTCAATTTTTTTTGAAACTGCAGCGTTAAAAAGCCCTAAATATCGAGGCGTAATTGAATGCATCTCTGTAATGGCGTGATAATTACTCTGTTGGTTTCTCCAAAATAACCTGGAGGAATTGCACTGCCTCTGATGCGGTAATTACGTAGGTGGGGCCAGGTTAGGGGGTCAGATGTAAGTGTATGTGCGCGCGCGTGTGTGTGTGTTTAGTGCTTGCAGACATTATAAAAGAAGAGGGGAGAAAATTACGCGTCAGTTCTCTGGCAAGGTTGTTTTTAGACGAGATGTTTCTCTGAAGCAGTGAAGGCCGCACAGAGCAGAGGAGGGGTGGGGGAGAAACAGATTAATGCAAATGAATTGCCCCAATAAAAACAACCGACCTTGTGCAAAGAAATTACTCCCCCCAACAAAAAAGAGCAGGTGGTGAGGGGTTTAATTAAGACTAAGACAAGGTTTTCTTAATATCTCGAATAAGAATTTAAACTGAGATATTTAGTGTCCTGTTATGTTATAATGAGAGCTGTGTGCAAACATTTTCACCAAAAGTTAGTCTGATTTGATTCGTCTATAAAATGTTTAAGTGAAACATTACTAGCCATCATAATCTCGGTTTTAAACACTATAATATAAACTATTATTACATGAGGCAAAAAAAAACCGCACGAATGGCAAATGATTATTCTAAAAAATACTGGAGTCAATTTCATGTCGATGGATAATCCATTAATCAACGAAATATGTTCAGCTTCTGTTATAATTAATCAGGGAGTCAAAGGATCAGAAAACAAACATTTCTCGATCTTTCTTGTTCGATATTAAGTAGCATAGTTGGCTTTTCCCGTCTTTAAAACAGTGCTTTATTATTCCTACAAAACATGGCAGAAATGTGGGAACCAAAAGATGATCGACACGATTTGAAAGAGATAGATTCAACGTGAAATATATCGGGTTTTGATCCCAAATGTGCTTCATCCAAATGAAAACAATGCTAGGAAGGAAAGTAATCTGTGATGAGGATGATAGATTTTATTAAATTGTCAGAAGCCAAAAACATTGGAGCCGCTGTCCTGGCTGCCATCGATAATCCCTTCCATGAACCTGATCAGATTATCGGCCTGCTGGGTGCACATTGCCGGCCTCTCTGTGCAGAGCCTGTTTCAACTGCAGCCCTCCTCTCTTTCTCCTCCTCCCTCTCTCTCCCTCTTTATGTAAATGAAGCTCGCAGCAGCTGAATAAATATCTACAGACCGGGACATTAAACGTGTTTGCGCCAAGACGTAAACAGCGCAGCGAGAGTCCACGAACAGCGGAGGATTTGTTCGGATTTGCATCAAACAAACATTTTGAGACCAAATCTTGTGGGATTGTTTAAGGAGGGGGGAAAGAGTGAGTGTGTGTGTGAGAGTGAGAAATGGTGTGTGTTTATGTGAGAGAGAGAGAGAGATATATATAGAGCTACAGGTCTCAGCTGCTCACCTTCAAACAGAAACAAAGCGGTGGAAGCGTTTCTGACCAAAGACGACAGATCCGATATTTAATGTTTCCTCTGAGGATGTCAAGCTGCAGCCAACACATGCTGCAGGAAATGTCGCTTTTAGGAAATAGATTATATAATGAAATGCCTAAAGAAGAAAGAAAGTAGAAAAGCCATTATTGACATGTTCTTCCTGAATTTGGAGATACTGTGGAGATAAGAGCGAATAAATGGACCAAAATACGCAGATGTGATCCTGCACTCTGCTCTATTGTGACTTGGCTAAAGGAGATTTATTTTTAAATGGAAACGTGTTATTGTAGATAAATAAGACAACATGTCATTTTATCAGGTTTTTACGTGTAAGACAAATGTGTTGTTTAACGAGAGGAAGAGATCAGGTAACACACATAGTTTTCAGCCGCTTGACAGACTGTTTTTTTACGCACGCAAATTATTTCGTCTAGAGTTGTATTTGTTGGGGTGAGTTACTGTCAATGTATTGGACAACATACAAGCCTGAACAATAAGAGAACATTTCACCAAAAGCCCCACAGAGATGCAACAAAAATACAGGATTATTATTCATTATGTAAATTAATAATATATACAATTTAGATTTAACGTTAACAAAAAACTAGAGCGGAAATTCACTTTAAAGCAACAATAATTTGCATGTTTAAATAAAGAAACTGCATGATCAATGACGTTATTATTTTCTTCACACTTTTTTATTGCCAATGTAAAGACAGAACATTGACACTGCTGTTAGTCAAATGTAAAAGAATATCTAACAAACAGACACCAGCTTAATTTACTTTTAGGGATTACATCAGAATTGCACAATGTACTAAAACACTCATTCAATTAACAGGCATTTTATGACATTTGAATCAAATCCTGGCTTCTTTTACTTATGGTTTAGAAATCATATTTAACATTCTGTTGAGGCGGAAGATATGATGAAAAACAAGGTGAACATTTTGTCAATGAGTTGTTTGTTCTCAGACCTTTCTACACGTTATTTAAATGAATTGTCTGAACATTCATCAAGTTTGTTTTTGTCCTCATCAGATTAACAAAAGTCAAAAAGCTAAATATTTTGTGTGTTTTAATCACCATCTGAAAAACCTAAAATCTACTTTACCTTAGAAAGGATTAATGTCGAGTGATAAAACATTTATGATATAATCTTCTACTTTCTGGCTTTGTTTGACACACCTTATTTTCATCCACGTGTTTGGAGTGCATTGGGAATATTTCAGGTGAACGCAGAGTTCAACCTGCATGATTTCGTTTTTAATCACACCATATTAAGATCTTACAAGTTGATACCTTTTATCAGCGTTACTGTTAAAGAAAGCCTTTGCAATGTTAAGGTTAGTTTATTTATAATAACACATTTCAGACAAAAAGGCAAATCAAAGTGCTTCACATGGGCATTAACACATCATATAATATATAAAAAGAAGTGCAGAAGTGAAATGGAAAAGCAGTAGTTAAATCAAAGACACTTCAATCTTTAAAATTAGCAACCAATGTCAAAATGAAGACTTTCCCCTTCAGATACATTTAAAATAAGTCCACCACGAGTGATACTTAATTAAAAATTATTAAAAGCAGCCCGTTATTGTGCCAGTTCCTCCCTTGTGTGTGATGAGTGTAGTTTTAACCTGAGCCGAGGGTCCTCACACTCTCCTCAATAGGACGATCGATGGAAACTGTTGACCTTTTGACCTCCGGTGAAAGAGTGTGAACGTGGGCGGACTGGAAACATTTTGTTCACTCTTGTCCAGGAGGTGAACTGGAACCAATCTGGACCTTTTTTTTTTTTTTTGCATGAGTGGCTGTTGATTTGTATCTGGAGACAGAGACAGACAGATAAAGTCACACAGAAACCTTGGGTATTCGGTTTGTGAGACCGCGAGAGAAAAGATATTGGAAGAAACCGAGCAGATGTGCTGATATGCATGCTGGAGGTGTTTTCTTCTATTCCCATGCAGGACGGCCGAGAGAAACTTGTCTTTCATTGGCTGTCTGATGTCGCCAGACCTTGGCATCCGAGTGTGTTTACAGGCCGGTATGAAGAGGGGATGCAGAGGATTATATTTACCTGGGAGGTTAATCTGGGGTCAGCTGTACATGGGAGGAGCCCAGGCCTCCGTCTCGGGTTTCTCTGCCTTTGTTTCACTTTGTTTTCTTTAATATCTTGGCACGTAAATAAAGCTGGTATTTGCATTGGATTTTTCTGTCTATTTTAAGTGTTTCCTGGTGTGAAATAAAGGTTACAAAAAAAAGGCACACACATCAGCTTGAATCCGCCATTTAAACTCAAGTATTGTTGCTTCCTGTGAGGGGATTTCACAGTTGAGTCCAGGTGGAGCTGCTGGAGTAAAAGCAGCTTAGTCATCCTTACGACACGAGGCACTGAGAGCATTCATGACATTCCTGGTGGGTTTACATACTGTAGATTTGAGTTGAGCAGAGGACACGGGTAAGATCAAGCTTTCATTTTCTTCTGGAGGGAAACTCCGGACTCCACACAGAGGGGAGTTTAAAGGAGTATGGATTTGGGATTTGGCTCTAAATGTTGATGTATATGCCGCCTCAGTTTGACTCACATCTCATATGGCTATGATAGTCTTAACCATACAGGCTTTGAAATAATGCAAAACCTGTTAAGAATGTCTTAAAGAGACACTTCAGTTTACATTTTCATAGAAAATCTGAGCAATGTAAGCCACTAAAGTCTGTGGTTCAGGAATAATCCATTTACAACACGCTGCTCTATGAGGCAGTGGCTCAGTCAGTAGGGGCTTGGACTGTGAGCCGTAGGGTCGCCGGTTCAAGTCCCCGACCAGACCTAAAATATGGAGAGTGGACTGCTACTTGGAGAGGTCCCAGTTCACCTCCTGCCCTGCCGTGGTGCCCTTGAGCAAGGCACTCCCCTATACAATAGCGGCCCACTGCTCCTAGCACTAGACTCCTGGTACTAGGATGGGTTAAAAGCAGAGAACACATTTCACTGTGTGTGCTGTGTGCTCTGCATGTGTGACCATTAAAGAGGGGTTCATCCCTCCTATTCTATGCTAACAGCTAACATGCTCACAATGACCAGAAGAGCTGAAATGATTGGTCAATTAATCAATTAGTTAGTCGCCAGAACATTTAAATTGTTAAGAAAATAAAAACTCAACAATCTCTTGTTTAGGTATCTTAGATGTAAAAATGTCTGCTTTTTCACGTCCAGATATTATAGTAAACTGAATATTTTAAGGATTTGGACAAAACAAGACATTTGTGCACACTATTTTTGACATCCAAGACATCCTGGTCTTCATTTTAAACAGTTGAATAATGTAAAATAGACCAATTCATCAATTCATCAACTGATAATGAAAGTTGTAGCCTTAATGTTGAGGTAATGTTTAGATCAGGGGTGTCAAACTCAAGGCCCGGGGGCCAAATCCGGCCCGCGACCTCATTTTATGTGGCCCGCAAGAGCTTGCAAAGAATATAATATACAATTGGTGTAATTGTTGAATATTTGCTTTCAATTATTTGCCCTAGAGTTCTGCTTTCAGACGTAGTTATTTAGGAAGATATTACCAGAACTGATAATAATCCAATATAGGGCCAACAATGTAATATAATACATTATTTAATATATATTATATATTTACATATATATATTTATATATAATTAAAATTACAACCGGCCCTTTGAGTGCAACCATAATGCTGATGAAATTGGGTTTGACACCCCTGGTTTAGATGGTACATTGTTAAAGTAAAGTTATGCAGGTATTTTATCAGTGGGCCAAACTCCCTAAAATGAAGTGAAGTTCTTCATCAGTTCATCAGTAAATTAAAGGATTTAAAGTTGATCTGAGGTCAGTAGGAGGCACTTCCTTCCTTCTTTAAAGATGGGAAACAAGACAAGAGGCACTAACTCACAAGACTTCAGATGCTTTTTGACGTCCTCACTTCCCTCACTCCTGGTGAATCAGTAGCATCAGGAGGGATGGAGCAGAGAGGTATTTGAGGGGCTCGTGTTATCTCATCTGGAAAGGATACAGACCCTCATCCCGAGTCACAACTTGTTTGAAGCCCTGCAGACGTGGGAATCTCAGCGGCGGCTCGTCGGCCTGCAGGCTTCAGAGTTTCCCACGAGGACGTCGTCTCCGAGTCTCAATGCATCGCCGTCTGACGAGTTGCTCTTCATCTTCTTTAGATTGTTCTTCAATGACACATTTCTGTCCACACATGGGACCAAAGTGCAGCAAACTCTGTAACGTATAACACATATGATAGATGCAAAATCAACTATTGACCTTTAAACATTCAAATAGCAGATGTTCGCCTCTGTAGGGAAATTATACAACACTCTCTTAAACCTCTGAAAAGTATTGTTTGTTTATGTGTAAGTATTAAATAATTTCCCCTCTTCTAATACTTCTAATAATAATAATAATTCCGTACATTTATTATAGCACTTTTCCAGATGCTCAAAGCGCTTTACATTACACACATGTAACGGTCATGTACTGTGGACAATACCCACAGAAGCAAATTCAGGTGAAGTGTCTTGCCCAAGGACACGACGGCTTTACAGACGCAGCGGCGGCGGGTTTCGAACTGGTGTTCCCCAACGCCCCCTTGGTCTGATGATCAACGCACAGCCCACTGCGTCCATCTTCACACTTGAAGTCATCGAGGCTCTTACAAGTACACATTACACACATATCCTACATGTAACGGTCATGTACTGTGGACAATACCCACAGGAGCAAATTCGGGTGAAGTGTCTTGCCCAAGGACACAACAGCCTGACGCAGTGGCGGCGGCGGGTTTCGAACTGGAGTTTCCCAACGCCCCCTTGATCTGATGATCAACGCACAGCCCACTGCGCCACTCCCTTAAGACCTTATTAATACCCAATATGTTTACTAGCATTGCATTGATGATCCCTTAACTTGGATATTCCATCAATAAGGTGACAAAACAGAGACATTACCATAAAGGCATTGCTATGTCTTCAAATAAAGAAATAAATTGTGTTTTTTTTAAGTTATGTGCAGTGTAGAGAAACCGTTAATAAAAGAAGTCCTCATAGACTTTTTGGAGCAAAAACACAATTCAAGAGACATAGCACCATGTTTTACAGCTGGTGTCTCCGAGAAGTGATAAAAAGGTCAGTCTTTCAATAAACTCTCTCCCAACAGAACATAAGGGCTGAGGATATTTGACCAGAAGATCTTAACTTTAATCTCAGCAGAATCTGAGGTTGTTTTAATCATAGAGTATCAAATGATAACACTTTTGGCTGAGAGGTGAAAACAGATATTTAATACAGATACGTTGCACCGTAATTAAGTACTTTTCGTGATAATGAAGTATGCAAAGAACATCTCATTCCTCGTCTTGAGAACCGACAGCTAAGAGAAACCCAACACTATTCTGGGAATAAGACTCTTCCTATCACCCTCAACTGTAAGTGGTTTTCTCCGTTTGATGTCTTGAATGGTCTTGGCGTATTTGTCTTGTGGAGAGAAACAAACCTATACAACATGTAAACAGTCCAATCAGAGCCTTCATTAGAGGTGAGGAGGCCTCTGCTGCCGCACAGGGAGAGAATCAAAAACACAACCTGGATAATAGCACGTGCTGCGGGCTTCATTCATTTCCAAATGTTAACAAGGCCGTTTCACAGTATGTTAATTCCACTAATAAGCCTATCTCTGCGAGTCATCTCGGATGGCAAAGATTTGAGCGCGAGGCGGTGGTGTTTTACACAAAAAGCTGCTGGCCACATTTTAAATGAAGCATAACTATGTATGATTTCCCAAAGCTGACATAATTGCTCAAAGGGTATCGGAGTACTTTGTTTACTGTATTATGAAAGAGCAGTTTCACTGTTTGCATGTTAGAAAGGCTACTGAGAGAGGGGAGGAGCTCCTGCTCGCCTGTTAAGCCATTTTTCTGCTTTTTATTCAAGCTGTCAAATCAGACAATCAGGAGATAATGCAGCCTTGGTTTGGAAATTATAAACGTGTCAAGAGATGCTCTAAAGGCACCGACAGATGCCACTTATCTCCGGCTGCCTCTGCAGTGTGACTGTATCATCAGAGGGGAAATATAAAATGTTTACATAAGAGAAGTATTAGTATCAGTCAGAAATGTAATTCCTTTCACCCGTCCCTCTCGCAGGGGATTGACTCCCCAACGAAAAACATACAATGATTTTTTTTTAACAAAACAAACAAAAAAAACGAGGAGAAAAGCATCCTCGCTGATCTTCTGTCCATTTCCAACATCGCTTCTTGTATATTTTTTGGTGGAAATCCTCTTAGAATGCAAAGTAAATAGATTAGGATACAGTGAGGGATTACGGCTCCGCGGCGCTGTCAGATTAGTCGCTGAGCGCCGCGCGTCGACAGCTCTGACACGACCATGGCTGCTGTTCAGGAAAGGGGCTCCGCGCGACGCTTTAAGACGCTGGTTGGCTCCGATTCATGAATAAAACTGTGGCCCGTAATCTCAGCCAACACACACACACACACACACACACACACACACACACACACACACACACACACACACACACACACACACACAAAGACGAAGCCTGGAACATTCAATATCAGTGGTGATGGAAATATAATACAAGTCTTTATTTTTTCAGGATGATTAATGGAAAGCTTTAAAACACTTTCAGTCGCGGTTTTAAAAGCAGAACCCGGTGTTGATGTTTTCTTTTGAGGCTCGTTTGGTTTAGACTTCACTAAGACAGAAATACCCTGAATCCACATCAACATTTCACAGGTAGAATATGACAGGATAAAGCTATATAAAATGTACAACTCACCAACAAAAGTGGTGATACAAACATGTATTATGTCACTTGTATCAGATATGAGTTGAGCTCTTCTCCAGGTAATACTTGGCATACCAACATATGGATAGAAAGTGAGTCTGTGATTGGTGAAATGTTGTTGTGTCTCTTATCGTTTCTCTGATGTTCTTTCAAACCATTCCTAAATGGACCACATGAAGCATCCCGAGGTCTTCATCGTCCTGAAAGAGAGAAGAAACACAAAGGTTCTGTTTTGTAAAAGTAAAGACGGATGGCTAACAGCACATGTTTTCATCGTCTGTGATCTGATTGGTAGTTTTACCTTTGAGTTCCCTCAGAAGAGTCCTATGTGCCTGCTGAGTACTATTCTATACTGTAAACCTGAGCGATACACTCACCAAACAAAATGTACTCTATGGTTAACTTTGAAGTCATGAAGCCTTCCACATTATTCATTCTTAATTACATGTAGTCTATATCACACTATCAAAAAAGTAGTGAATAGGCAATTCAAACTTTCCAGGGCTAAAGTGATGTCCTAAAACAGCTAGTTTTGTCCAACTGAAAACAAAATAACTACTTAATTCTATCATAACAATCAAATTCTCACATTCAAGAAGCTTCGACCAGCTATTCACCATTTTTGCTTGAAAAATGCCAGACGATTAATCAATTATCCACATTTTTGGAGGACATATTCTTCGATCAACTGAAGTATAATGCTATTACCTAACATGACTATGAACGCTATTGAGTAGGGACATATATTATGATTCTTATCATAATAAAAATCAATATCCAATCTACTCACATTCCTGCTGTCGCCTTCACTGCTTCCTGCACGACAAAACCAAACGACACGAGATGTTAGAGGAAGTCAGATGTCACAATATTACACATGCACACTCACACACGGGAGCCCTAAAGCACACAAACACAAACACACACACACACACACACGGTGTCTGAACAGGTTACATGCTCACTCAGTAGGTCGGACATGTCGCTTTTCTGGGTTTTAATGAGTGTAAAGCGTTGTCACTCATGGCGATCTCTCTCGCTCTGAGCGCTGTGTTAATAAGGTGATGATTGACATTAAAACCCCAGCGTGCATTATACAGATATTTAAAAAGCTGATGCAAATTCCCCTCCAATAGCCTACAGTCCGGATTATCAAACTACACAGCGATTTGATAGCGAGACAATTGCTCATCACCCGAAACATGGAATTATTAAACTGGAGAGAACAGGAAGGAGAAAGAGAGGAATACATATATGCTATCACTTCGTATTACTTTTATGACAGAGATAGACACACACACACACACACACACACACACACACACACACACACACACACACACACACACACACACACACACACACACACACCTGTTTGTCTCAGAGGGCTCACGGTCACACGTATGCTCTCGGCCTGAAGTCTCCTCTGATTGGCTCTGCCATCAACCCTGAGGAATAAAATGAAAATGATTAAAGTGTAACATCTGTTGAATTGAGTTTGAAGATTAAAGAATAGTATGTGCTGTTGCTTTTCATTTTGTTCAGAAATGAGCGGTGTAATCTTCATTTATGATAAACGAACTCTCCCTTAATCTACCACATCTAGTTTTTACTCCATTTCCTGCATTATCCAGTTTATCTTTGGACAATCTAGAGAGCAGACAAGTGTTCATTTGTTGAGTTATGGATTGCACTTTGTGGCAGAGAGAAACTTTTAACCTCAAAATGCATCATGTCTTCTTTACTGGGGCTCCTATTAGCAAAGACTTTGGTATTCTTGCTCATCAGTGATTTACACGCATGGTAGATTTGGTCTTCTGTCTTTTTCTTATGATCAAAAGAAAACTGTTCTCTCCAATGTGCAGATGTTTTGCCTCTCATGGTGTGGAGAGCAACTTTGTTTCTGCTTTGTTGGATTCCTACATTGATGAAAATTACATTTGACATTTTCACCTCCTTCCAAAAAACACAAAACTTCTTCCATTTCAATTTCAATTTCAGACCATCTTTGGGACGCCGACACCTCAGCAAGATAAGCAAGTATCAGGTGAAACAAGTATGGCTGATTTGTATTAATGTGATCATTCATTGGGGCAGTGGACATCAGTATCAGCAGATACCTGATCTTTATTAATCAGAACTCTTGACAGAAGTGACCCTCAGGATCTGGATCTAGATACTGAAATCTTTCCTACTTGGAGATTCTGGACATAAATATGAAATACATCAAATGTGTTATTTAAAAAGCTCTAGTGTCAATTTTGGCCTCCTTTATACGCAACACTAAAAACAGCCTCCAATCTCCTTCCTCCGCTGACAGAGGAGTACGTGACGAGAGCGAGGCCAGCGGCCGTCAAAGGAACGTTGGGATGCTTCCCAGATTCCCGTCTCGTTCCCTCTCTCACTTCTCCGAGTCGGATTTGGGGAATGCGTGGATCGGCGAGGAAGCCCCCGAACTGCCATTGTGCTTTCGCCTTCCTCCCTTTTCTCTTGCTCTTTTCTCAGCGAGCCAAACGGGAAAACGCCCGCGCTACAATGCCTCCCCTTCTCCATCTCAGCTAAGCTGTCATTGGCTTCACATGAGAAACAATGAAACTTCATCGGAGACCAGATTACAAAAAAACAAACGGAGGGGGTTCAATATGAAAATGTTTTCTAAAAGGACGGGGGGAGGCTTTTGTCTCTTTCTCTCTGTGGCTATTATCTGTTGGGAGGTTTGGGGATCTGCTTCCTTAGACCTGGGGTACTGCACCTCCGGGCCTTTGGCTGCCAAATCGTCTCCTAACCCTCTTTTCTCTCCTTTTACTGTTTTAAAAAAAAGCATCTCTCTCTGTCTCTTCCCCTCTCATTCTCTCTCTGGACCCAGCTTGTTTAAATTGGCTGATAGGAAAGGATTTGGGATGGATGGAGGGGGCTTAGAGAAACTCAGAGTGGAGGGGAGTCATCAGTGTTACAGTCAAACAGCCATGAAAAGCCTGTGAGGATGAAAAGAACAAGAGCCCCTTTTTTGATCTAACGCACACAAATCCCATATAAATACTCCAATATGTTAGTTGGGGTATGACAAGGAATGCCCCTCCATCCCTTCACAATAACAGAGACGTGGATTTGTAAGTATCTGTTTGTGAGTGAGGCTGGGACAAAGTGCTTTGAGTGTGTCTTAAGTCACGCTGTTTCCACATGTCATTCATGTAGACGAGTGTATTAAACAATCACTCCGAAACACCGAGTTCTTCAGGCGGGGTGCGGATGGAGTCCGGTGGAGTTTCAAATGTGGGTTCAGCGTTGGGATGGATGGAAGCGTAAGACCCGTAACTGATGTGACGTTGACATTTGAAGTGTCACTGGGATGAAGGCTTTTAGGATGCAGCTGGGTCATTTGGCCACAGACGCTCTCATACAATTCTTATACAGACAATACCGACCCACTGAGGGAGAGGAGATGACAACTTAAAGTGGAACAGTGAATCATCCGCACACAGAGTCTGGGGCTTCTTTAAGAGCGGGTTGAACTAACTATGTCAAAGCGGCTATAATGTGTATCCTTATTATAACAATTGTTCTTTTCATTTTGGTGCATTCTTATTATATTGATTGAGCATTTAGAGGCTGGAGAGTCTGATATGTTCCTCAGGACATATTCTTAGAATAGTCTCATTGGTGAAGACTTAAAACGGAGCTAAAAGAGAGGGGAAATTGTCGGTTTTATCCGTCAATATCAACTGTTTCCTGACAAGTTAACCCTAACCCTATCAACTTAAAAGGCAAATATGTCTCAATATGGTGTTAACCTATTGTTTTAATTCACTTTCATTCATAATTTGGACACAAACATGACTTTAAATGGATGATTATGTTACTCCATAACGGCTGGATGTGTACTTTGCCAACAAATTCAACATATCAACTTAAAAATATGGTCAAATGTCAACAGGGGCCAAACTAGTGAGTTAATGCAGGTTTAAAGAAATAAGATGTGTGACAGTGATAATAATAACCTGAAACCACGTAGAAGGCTCACACACATGGTTCATGTCACTCACTGTGTTGTCGGAGTATTCGGGTACGAAGGTCCTGCTGCCGTCTGGTTTCTCTCCGTCTGTCTGGAGACACGCATCACATCATCTCCAACTCTCTGAGGGTCTTCTGGAAAAAAAAACATAGAAAGAGAAAAGTATGTACAACACCATTTATCCAGAAATGATGCTTGATCCAATAGTTTCCTTTATGACGCCTATATATTGAGTAGTCACAACCCTCTTTGAACTTTTCATGTTTAAGTGTTTAACAAACAAATTGTGACTTTTTTGTATCCATCCATCAGACTTATGCTTTTCAACTTTTACCTTAGTTTGTTTGTGAAAAACTGAAGCGTATAAAATACAAAAACCTTAAAAGATCCCATGTCATGGCCTTTTCTACTGATCATAATTCCATTGTTGAGGTCTACTAGAATAGATTTACATTGTGCAATTTTCCACATTGGTTTCTCATACAGCATCTCTGTATAGTATGTGTATTCACTCTGTCCTACACGCCTTGTTGGAGCTCCTGCCCCCCCCCCCTCCCTGTGAGCCCACTGTGCTCTGATTGGTCAGCTCGCCCACTCTGTTCTGATGAGTCCACCACCGTTACAGCTGAACATCAGTGATTATGATTTACAATGGAGTTTGTTAGCAACTAGAAAATGACACCAGTAATGACAAACAGAGGAGAATGCTGCGTGGGGTCTGGGTGCCGTGTTGGCGGGACGTTGCGCGGCTCGCTGCTGCGCCCTTTTAGGCTCGAGGAGCGGACAGTGTCAGCTGGATTACTGGTGTCGTTTCATGGTTGCTGCGTGGGGTCTGCGAGACAGCGAGACACCACGGAGCTCAGCCTGAGCTCCGAGTGTTTGTGTTTACGGAGCTCCGCGCAGCACCGCGGCTGGGAAAATATAAGGCTGAGTGAGTGTGTGTGCGGAGCTCCACGGATTGGTCCATTTGGACTTCGTTACATCAATAGGACCCGGAAGGAAAAAATGGAAAAAGAGAAATGTCCAACGAGGCGTTCTGGGGCAGCATAGACAGGTCTTTTCTGTGTTAGAGTTTTACTCGCTGCAGGGTGTACTTTGAGGGTTTGTGACTCTGCAGACCGCTTACATGCAGAAAAAGCTACATAACACACAAGGGGACAGGTAATAACCAGAAAAGCAGGACATTGGACCTTTAACACCTTGCTCCAAAATCTCCAGTAGTTGTTCACTTANCTTGATGTTCATGGCTGACTATATCAGTAGATGCTAGTGTCTCTACTTTAAAGAGTCCTTCTCCTTGCTGGATGTTCAGGTGTATATCAGCTATGCAGTGTCTCTACGTTTAAACGAGTCCGTCTCCCCTCCGCTGACTGTTCCAGGCTGTATACTCATATGAGTGTCTCACTTTAAAAGAGTCCTCTCCTGCCTTGATGTTCATCGTGTATATCAGTATGTAGTGTCTCTACTTTTAAAGAGCTCCGTCGTCCTGCCTGATGTTTCAGGTGTATAGTCAGCTATGTAGCTGTGCTTACTTTAAAGAGTCCTACCTGCCTGCTGATGTTCAGCGTTTATATCGAGTATGTTAGTTGTCCTACTTTAAAGAGGTCCTCTCCTGCTGATGTTCAGGTGTATATCAGGTATGTAGTGTCCTCTACTCTAAAGAGTCCTCTCCTCTGATGTCTCAGGTGTATATCAGTATGTTAGTTGTCTTACTTTAAAGAGTCCTTCTCCTGCTGATTGTTCAGGTGTATATCAGTAGTAGCTGTCTCTACTTTAAAGCCAGTCCTTCTGCCTGCTGATGTTCACGGTGCTTATCCAGTTTTTATTGTTAGTGATCTCCTACATGTCTCCATGCTTTAATGTTCAAAAGCTTCTTTGATTTTCTCATACTGTCTGCTGCTGCAGCCACGTCTGCTTCACCTCTGTCTGAAACCAGACCCAGTTCTGTTCCTTTGATTGGTGTAGCTGGCCGGCCTCTGTTGTGATTGGCGTCAACCGCTCTAGAGATGTCCCGGCCCGCTTATATTACAATGTGTTGGAGCGCGCTAGCCAATTAGGTGGTAACATTTCATGATGTAACTATTGTCCAGGAAGTCTACCAAAGGAGTCAAATGGCAGCCGCTTAAAGATGAGATTAATAAAAGTCCACTTTGTGAATTTTATAAAAGGTCCCGCGTTATCAATGCCTCTCTCAGCGCTCCATACTGTTTCAGAGCAATAACATTTCGCATGATGGTTTAGAACAGCATGCGTTTTATCACATGCAGCATTGAACTTTTATCCCGGTTGAATCTGATCAGCGCATTACTCCGCCTCCTCTTTTTTCTTTTCTTTTTCAAGTAAGGACCCAAAATTCCGCGTTTGTCTGTAACAGGGATGCCCAAAAAGAGGCCGCCGGTGGATGAGAGGTAGTCTCGAGAGGGCGGCGCTACAATGCGGGCTTGGTATTGGTTAAGCGCCACAACAATCGGCGTTTACAGACATGTTTGTGTATATGTGACCGCGCCGCTAGAGAAAAGTGAGGTGCATTTTTCCAAATTATAGCCATAATTAGCGTCCACTTTAAAAAAAATGTAATGATGGACACAGGTTCGGTCCGGATTGATTTGCATTCGTGACGCGGGCGATCCGGCGCCGCGCGCGTGGTCCGGAGTTTGAGGCAGTAGGCCCTGAGATAAACGCGATGGCAATCAAATCTATAACAATCTAAACATCGCAGGACATTAAAAAACATTATGATATGCTAAACCTCAACAAATATAATCAAACACCTCATTGCCAACGTTATATTTCTCGTAAAGGGCAGGTTGGGAGATGAGCGTGGGCTCATTTTACAAGGTGCCCGTGTACAGCTACCTTGTAATGCTTATACTTAAAACCACTGAAACTCTTGAACGGGCATATAAAGCCGCAGCACTTTTTAGTTTGCTGCGCGCGCGTTGTGTCCGGCATTTTTAGGTTAGGGTTGCACGCTCTCTGAGGGATAATGTCTCTTGTGAATCGAACGTGGCCCTGTGCTTCATCGCTCCATACCATACGCCTGCCCATACCATAACCCCACCACCACCATGGGCCACTCGATTCACAACATTACCCTAACCCTAATCCTAACCCTAACCCTCACACCAGATACTGACTGGTTTTCGGACCCCCCCAGACCCCCCCAATAAAGCAAAACTGCACGTTTCAGAGTGGCCTTTTATTGTGGCCAGCCTAAGGCACACCTGTGCAATAATCATGCTGTCTAATCAGCATCTTGATATGCCACACCTGTGAGGTGGGATGGATTATCTCGGCAAAGGAGAAGTGCTCACTATCACAGATTTTTTCAGATTTGTGAACAATATTTGAGAGAAATGGTCATTTTGTGTATGTAGAAAATGTTTTAGATCTTTGAGTTCATCTCATGAAAAATGGGAGCAAAAACAAAAGTGTTGCGTTTATATTTTTGTTCAGTGTATGTTGCATCTACAGTATCTTGTTTACTGTATGATTCAAATCTCAGATCAAAATGTTGGCAGTGATCATTCACTGGCAGTGATCTGTACATTTTACAGATATGTTGCCAGATTTCTGTGTTTACTTCCGCCGTGAAAACACACTATAGATATATAAAAAGGGTTTGTGGAAACAGCTGTGTGTAGGCTTTTTGCAAATGTGGACGTCACACCTTGACAATCCCGTTTGTGATGAACATGTCACGCCGGTAAAGTTTCTAAATTGAGAAGTCAAACAGTGATGGAGGTTGTGTGATCAGAGCTGAGCGAGGAACAGAAACAAACGCTGCTTCAACACAGCGGAGCTAACAGGCTTTCACCACAACCACCAAGAAAGGAGCTGGAGAAGTGGATCTTCAGATAAAGCTCTTGTCTCTTTGCCCACTGAAAGGCCCTGCAGTCACATCAGCCTTTGAGAGGGGGAGACACAACCATCAGGAACAACTTGGCTTCTCCTCCTGGCATAAAAACGCCACTCCAGAGAAAAAAGAGATAGCGAGCAAGAGAAAGACGCCTTCCCTCGCACTTGTTCGCTACCCTGCCTCTCACAATGACGTATCTATCCAAATCTACACACTTGTCAGCCAGACAGCTTTAAGCCATTCCCAACGCTGTTATAAAAAGGGACCATTGCTAAGCTGAAGTGTGTGTCCTCTATTGTGTGTGTGTGTGTGTGTGTGTGTGTGTGTGTGTGTGTGTGTGTGTGTGTGTGTGTGTGTGTGTGTGTGTGTACATGTGAAGGCAGGATCTCAGGTTTACAATGGATGCACATAAATACCAGAAGTGGTGCATAGAAATATGGTCCAGGACATCCACCTTAAAAAGAACCACTAGATGCAGAGAAATCGTGAAAAATCCTCCGAACAATAGCATGAGATTCGCTTTTCTTTCCAATGTCTCTTTCTTCCAATGCAAATCATTTCGGTTTTGTGATTCCCTTGAAGTGAAATGAAGAGATCCAGGGTGGCGATGGCCTAGATCAGCTGCGTTTATTCCTGATGTGAAAACACTGCTTGATGGTTTTCTGTCGTATCAGGCCGTTAGATTAAATATAGCTCAGATCAAAAACAGCAAACTCCCAGTCCCGATGAGCAGAGCTGAACCTGCTGAGCCTAAATGATCTTGTTTCTTCTCTTGCTATGAGTTAGAGAAGATGGATATCACTTTCCCTTCTGTACAGTTACAGCTTAGCTTAGCTTAGCATAGAGACAAATGGAAACAGTTAGCCTGGCTCCTTCCTAAGAAAGAAATAATGACCGTAGAGCACATTTGAACCAGACTATTAAAACACATTATCTACCGTCTGTTTTATTTGTACAAATACTGACATTTAAAACTACAGCTCGATGTTCTCTTTGCTGACTGACTGGTAAACTGTACGTAAATGAACAATTGTCCTGCATTTCGCTGCAATTTACCAGCAATCTTACTATATAAGCTACAGCCTTACCAATGATTAACCTGGTTAAATGATTACAAATCAGTGGTCAATATTTAGTAACTTCTCAAAACTAACATGAGTATACTCTTTTGGCATAAGTCTGCAGGTTTAAAGGAGTGAGTTATATCAATATTATTGTCATTAATGAGTTAGAATTAAGCTCTGGGGCTGTTAAAGCGTGGTATGCATCTGCATGTAAATCCAATTGAACATACATCTAGTTTCAGAGTGTAAAATGTACAGCGTGGTTTTGTGTAGGTGCAGCACACTTGTGTATTTGCCTTCATAACGAGAAGTTGACCCTCTGCAGGTCATTCAGTGTTTGCACAGAGAGACAGCAGGATGTGTTGGGTCGTAGGAACAACTGCTTTACATGAACAAAACACACTCACCCAACTGTCACACCCATCTGCACACATACTGTACACATATTTACACAAACACATCTCCGAGGGCTATTTTGAATTGGAGCTGTAGTGTGTGTGTGACCATGAATGAAAACAAATACATTTCATTCTGTGTGTGTGTGTGTGTGTGTGTGTGTGTGTGTGTGTGTGTGTGTGTGTGTGTGTGACCATGAATGAAAACAAATACATTTCATTCTGTGTGTGTGTGTGTGTGTGTGTGTGTGTGTGTGTAT